TGTAAATTTAGTATTTTATTATTATTCTTACATATTTAATTTCATATATTGTTGTATTACACGGTTTTTTAGAGCATTATTAAGTATTAATAGTCTGATCTTAGTACAGCGTTTGAATCTCGTGCAACATTTAGGGGCGAAATTTGATTGGTTGCTCCAGTATTCAGTCGCCATTATGCGCAATGGTACACCTTGTTTTCTTACATCATGGATACACCTTTCTTTTTACATCATGGTCGGAATGATCGCTCTCAGGTTTCTCTCTGCAGTCACAGTATATACAGTAGCGCAACTCTCTGTCGGCACCTTTGATGTTAGTGAAGCCTAAAATGGAGTGCGCATGCGCGGCCGAGGCGCGTAACCAATCAGGGCACTGTATTCTATCTCACTTCTGCTCTCTGTTTATAACCTTTTCTCTCTTTCTAATTTATGTTCTAGCAATGTCCTAACCTAATTTGCACATTTGAACATTTAATACGCGTACTAACAAGTAACTTTTATAAAATTATCTTAATTTATTCCATTATTCACAGCGAATACAGAAAATCTATAGTTCTCGTTTACACTATATAGATTTTTAGTACTCACAGTGAAAAACGAGACGCATTTGAAAGAGAAAATGAAATAAAAATTAAACATATATGATGCACATTTATTTCTTAACACTATATTTTGCAATTAAATATACCCACAAAATATATTATTATTAACTAATTGTACAGCAATATTGTGTATGTATAGCATATATCTTGTATATATACGGAATTAGAACAGGAAGTCACAATAAAGTCAAAATGACATTAAAATGATTGAAAAATGACTTTTATTGATCATTTTGGAATAATTTTAACATCATTTTGATACAATGATGACTTGTTTTGCTTGAATATATAATTAATGTGGTATTTCATATTTTGAAATATCATATGGCTCGAATAAAATTACTTATATTTATTATATTTTTTTCACATTGAATATAGTAACCGCAGATATTAGGAAATGCGAGAATACACACACACTCTCTCTCTCTCTCTCTCTCTCTCTCTCTCTCTCTCTCTCTCATAATTTTGTAATTTAACTTTTTTTATTTAAAATGACGATTATTTTGTACAGATAACCTATTCTCCGTAAAGCTAATTCGGTCTACGTTCTCTGTTTTTTTACACTTTCTTAAATACGCCTGAATACACTGAATAATTATTATAATTAAACACGTATCACTTATCACTTTATCACACATAGTACTTCTCACATAAAATTCGTCGCGTTCCCGCCACTTTCCGTTAAATGGTCCTTTAAATGCCTTATATGGACATTTCTATGGGGCTGACTGACGCCGACAATAGAAAGAAGAAGTGAAATAGAATACAATGCCCTGATTGGTTACGCGCCTCACTCGCGCATGCGCACTCCATTTTAGGCTTCACAAAATCAGGAGAGTTGCGCTACTGTATATACTGTGCTGCCTGATGAACCACTCGGCCGAGGCGGACGCGTTTCGGTCGGGTGCTTTCTACCGTAGGTAATTATACAGAATCACTGCCTCACCTCAAAAATCGATCAAATTAGGTTTATTCGATGCGTTTTTGCATGAAACGAAAGAATCTGGCAGAAAAAAGTGTCGCTCTGCCCTACGAACCGAGATATTTAGCGTTAAAGTTGACGA